AAGCTGCTAGTTATGCATTTTCTCATGAATTTCCCAACATTTTGTAGAACCCAAAGGTTCATGGCTGTGTTCCTAACAGCCCTCCACACTGGTCCCTATCCTGATCCAGAACAATCCAGTCCATATCGCCCCATCCTATCTCTCTGAGATCCATTTTAATATTATCCATCCACCTACCTCTTGGTTTTCCTGGCGGTCTCTTTCCTTCTGGCTTTCCCACCCATATCCGATATGCAGTTGTTTTCTAACCCAGTTGTGCTACATGACCTGTCTATCCCACCCTCCTTGATTTGATCATTTTAATTATACTTGGTGAAGAGTATAAGTTATGAAGCTCCTCATTGTGCAGTTTTATCCAACCTCCAGTCACTTTAACTCTCTTTGGGCCAGATGTTCTCCTCAGTAACCAGTTCTTAAAAGCCCTCAGTCTGTGTTCCTCCCTTAATGTCAGAGATCCAGTTTCATACCCATACAGAACCACAGGAATAATTATAGTTTTTTTAATCATACATAACCCACACACATACATACTTAACATACATGCGTAACATGATGTAATTCGCCACCTGAATTTCAGAGGACTTTTAGCGCACTACATGACATATCCCAGAACACAGAACTCCTCGTAACATCCGTTTGAAACCTCAAATCCTACATCCTTATGTCTTGTCCTTACACTCATCTGTCACATATTTAGAATGTTCTACAAACCTGCTGTGTGTTTTTAATACTAGCTTTCCTTTAAGTGAAGCAATTTATGATATATCTCTAATTGTTATAGTCTGCGCAAACTACAGGTTCTGACAAATATGTGAACTGATTCTGTGAAAAGAAATATTGTTCAATAATCATCAGTTAGTGTGGTCATTTTCTGACTTTATACACCCATTCCAGAATCTTGACATGCCTGGAAGCATTGCTCAAAATTATTTTCTGAAGGTCCTTTCAGTACTCTTGTTACATTTCCTTGAATATATTGAAATGTTTCAAAATGAGATAATTTCGAGGAGGATTATTTGTTTCATAACATTAATAAATCATATGGAGACAAAGCAGGCAAGTATGGTGGATTATCCAACTATAATATTTGTCTCTTGGTCAGCAATGACTCTACTGAAACTGTTGAATATGCATAATGGAGATGCACAATCCAGTTCCACCAAAGATACGGTATTTTGGACACATGTATTGCCACAGAATGTTCCAAAATTTTGCAGATTAAAGGTGCTTAGATGATTGTTTTGAAGGAACAGACTTTTAACGAATAATTCCTTTGACAGTAAAAACTGCAGGCCAGCATATACATTTTAATTTGAAATAATTTTTTTTAAGTGTTGGAGACACTGGTATTTTCAGTGGTGTTTCATTTCTGAGTGACCCTGGAAGATCCATGACTCTTCACCAGTCATTATTTTCTCCAAATGATTTGGTTTTTTCTAGAATCATTCTATGAAATGTCAATGCATTTCTGTTATCCCCCCATGTTTTACTTGCAACAGATTTCTTGGTACAGTTCAGTCATGTTTCATTCTATAACTTCATTAATTTTTAGCTCAGATTTGTGTAGTTGTCTTGTGTAAGATATGTATAATTAATTTTCATGACCTCTCACTACTTTAGGATTTGGCAGATACTTTTGAAAATGTCTCTCTTCACCTCTGCAAATTAACAAAACGTTGTGGCAATGAGAACATTCATTGCAACCATGAAACAAATTGAATCCAACAACTGTTTGTAATGGAACTGCTGAATCATGTAGTCATGTGATTTAATATGAGGGTTGGAACGTTAATAGTGGCAACACTGCTGTAGCAACGCCATGCAATGGAACCAAATAATGTTGCTTATACCACTCATTAGTTACGTACCTACCTTACCTCAGAGCAAATGGACTCTTGCTTCCCACATCACACACATGCGCAGTGACGAGAAGAACATAGCCTTGTGTTAGCTGGCGGTCTAATGTAGTGTTATCACGATGTTTTCGAAACAGGAACAACGGAGTTGGATAAAGATTGAATGTGCCAGAGGCTGTACAGCACGACAGTGTCGTCAAGATCTTCAAGAGGCTTGCGGGGAATCTGCATTGCCTTACAGAACAGTGGCAAAGTGGGTAAAAGCCTTCAATGAGGGATGTCAAAATGTGGCAGACATGTGTCGGCCAGGTCATCCTATTGTCAGTGAACAAGAAGTGTGTGCTCTTTTCGCATAACTGGAGAGTGATCGACGCCATACGATTTGTGAGCTGGCCCGAGAGACAGGATTAGCACATACGACTGTGCTTCACATTCTGAAGGAACGCCTGGGCATGAGAAAAATTGTATCACAATGGGTTCTGCATGATTTGATGGAAATGCAGAAATGGTTATGATATGACACTGCTCGTAACCACTTGAGCTCTATGAGCGCGAAGGAGAGGCTTTCTTACGCTGTATCATTATGCTGGATTAGACATGGGCCAAATCGTACGAGCCACAAATGAATCACCAATTGAACGAATGGCATCGTTACGGTTCACCACGAAAATCAAAAGTTCATCAGAACCCCAGCAATGTGAAAGTTATGGTGATTCTCATGTACAACTGTGATGGTGTTATCCTAACGCATACTATTCCTCGACAGCAGATCGTCAGTGCACAGTATTACTGTTCATTTTTGGAACACAACATGTGACCATCTTTGATAAAGAAGTGGCAACACTTTCTGCAGAACCCACCCATCATTTTGCAGGACAATGCTCAGCCGCATGCAGAGCAAGCTGTGGCTGATTTGTTTGATCGATGGGGCTGGGAAGTGCTGTACCATCCACCATACCCCCTGGACTTAAGCCCTTGTGACTTCAACTTGATTCCTAAGATGAAGGAACCACTTTGTGGCATTCACTTCAGAACTGTTCCAGAGATTCTTCAGGCAGTGGACGGCTCCATTCAAACTATCAACACAACAAGCGCTGCTAAAGGTATCCTATGACTTCCACATCGCTGGCACCGGGTTGTACACAATGCTTGTGACTACATTGAAGGACAGTAAAACTTCAAAACATGCATCTAGTTTGTGTCAGTTGTAAATAAATAGTTGCCACTATTAAAGTTCCAACCCTCGTATGTGCTGTATTGCCAGTGTTGACAGTTGCTGCACAAAACTGTCTGTCAAATTAATTAATTCCAGTTCCTCTTATTTGCACAAATGCTAATGCTTGAAGCAAGAGCTCACTGAGGGATAAGTGCTCCTACACATTTTTTTTTCAGTGATTTTTTTTTAATTCACATAATGGGGGGTGGATTCCAGTTGGGTCCACTTGGCATGGCGGCCACTGATTGGCCTATTGTACCTGCCCCTGGTGATTATGATGATGGAGAATTTGGTGGAATGAAGATTGGCAAGGGAAGCTGAAGTACTTGGAGTGTAATGCCCTAGCGGCGCAGGGGGGGCATGGAGGTATCCCTCCCGCTGCTGCCGCCGCTGTAATGCCGTGGTACAGGGGGGCGTGGAGGCAGCCCGCCTCTGTCACCACTGTAACTCCGCATGTA